TAGAGCAAAGCAAGGTCTACGAAATGACTCACAAATATGTATTAGAGTAAGTTCAATCCACGCGTATTGGAACCAAAAAAATCTAAATTATTTGAAAAAGGAAAAGGATCTCTGCCATGGAAATTCTATGGACCACCACTTCCCACGAGTACACTCTTCACAACAGAGATTCATGAATCACATCAGACAATTATACCTAGATATGCTGTTTTTTTTTCAAGGCTAAAAATACCAGTGCGATTATGGATTCCTATACAAGTTATATATGTACTACAAAGCTGAAGAAGTACAAATAAAAATGTACAAGTTCATACTACAAACTACTAAGAGTACAATATATTTTACTATGAATGCGCTAGTTTCCGAGTTATTTCAGCATAGACAAACAGAAAAATTGAATTTTCTTTCCCTTTTAGCCCTGAAAAATTATAGCAATTGTCTGAATGCCTAACAGGAGTGAGTCCTGAGGCTGAGATTTTACAATACTTGGCGCAAATAGTTATTTGTAAGTCAGCCTCCAGTTTCATGCGGATAGAATTTTTTACAATTGTTTCAAGGTCATCGTTTGAATCTTGGCCTAATCTACCCGAGCCTCACTTGAACTAGAAAAGATTCAGCTAAAGAAGGAAAAAAGTTCAAGAAAATTCCATGTAAAACTGCTGAGTTGATCATTGGTTTGTTGATCAAGGTGAAATTGCAAAGCTTATTATATTTTTAAGTACTTTGATCCTCAAAGCTTTTGAATAGAGCGAATTCTGAACTTCTTCTTGCAAAATTTGTTTTCAGGATTGAATCAGGTAATAAGCCTGCTACTACAATACAGAATAAAGTAGGTCAAGAGAGTTATGTATACCATGAAAATGTTTTATTGCACATAAAAATTGCTTAGTGTGCATTTAGGGAATTTCTGAAATTCTAAACCAAAACGACAAAAAATGTCTTGGCATAAGATTCTTGCGGAAACTCAATATGGTGCTCGAATGTCAAGTGTTTTTCTGCAAGATTAAAATGATGTGGCTTGAAGTAACGGTTACATTTAGGTTGCAATATTATATGAGATCCGATTCGGAGATATAGAAACTTCTTTGGGTTTTGAGTGTTGTTTCGCACTGCAGTAAAGGCTATACTAATTAACTGTATGGCATCCCGCGTACTCAAAAAATTGTTCCGAAAACGCCTATAATTTGTTGCACGAAGGCCCTTTATCTCTAGAGATTTTCTACAGCGACTTACAACGCATCGCCCATTCATAAAACATTTTCTGGCCAACTTGAAAGCACTGTCCTAATAATTGTTTAGCAAATGACGCATTTTTGCGTGCTGGTAGTGATATGACAAGAAATTTGGTGTGTCTAATATATTCTCACCCGCGAATATGTTTAAACATTAAAAAAAAAAGAGAATCAATTCAATATATGACAAGAATGCGCAACTGGCTAGATTAGGCATTAGTACTCCAGCTGAAATTTTTGACACCATAAATTCGTATAATAATCATGACGTTATCCAAAATTCCTCTCCTCTTGGCTACGACCCCAAACAGCATCTCGCCTGCCTTAGGAATTGAAGCAAAACCGTAAACCAAGACAAGGGGCCATTTTCTTGAATCCGATACTCACTATTCAAGATTTAGGGTAAGTCTCTCTACTACGAAGGTTCATGACGGGTATCAATTTCCAAATCCCAGACCTCCTTTGCGCGCAAAAGCGCCTGATTAGCTATAAGTTATAAGGTGAACTTGCCTTTACAGTTCAGTTTACATAACAAGGCGCCAGGAATTATTTACACTTTTTTTTTGCCCCTTTTCAAAATCGTTGCCCTTTCTTTGCCCCTTTTTGCATTTTTTGAATGCGTCGTTCGGGACTTGCCACTAGCAATCCTATCCAACCAGGACCAGGCGCAGATCGCAGGCTGGACTTCGTTTTTGGGGCGAAAAAGCGGAGGCGATATCGTTTTTGAAGCCTAAAATTGCAACATCTTTTTTAGTCGACTTTTAACCTTTGGTTTTTTGAGGGTTTCTACGTTTAGGGCTGAGAGTCAAAGGGTACTTCGCAAAATTTCGCGAAAGTCAAGGGGGACTTCGTTTTCAAGAAGCCTAAAACGGACTCATGCCGGGCGCTGTGTCCAACCATCATATCACAGTCGTTCACATGTACCTTCAGCAATATGGCCCACCTCTTTTGAATTGAAAATCACCAGTGCGAACCCTCCGTGACCTAGATAGGAGGGACTATTTGCTCCATCTCTCGAGATTTTCAGCTACCGTATTCGTGCAATTTCATGAGACATTTCGTTGATTTATGCAATTTTTATTTGGATAAAAGTTTAGATATGCCGGTTTTTAGCCAATGTTAGTAATGCCATCACTTTATGAATTCCTTGGATTTTGAAAATGGTTAGTTCAAACCATAGTTGAGAACAAGTCTTGTAATTTCTTGTTCTGGCCCCAAAACTCCAGATTACATCGTCAGCTAGAGTCATAAATTCTAAGCGATGTAACTGAGACATTCTGCGCAGATCATGAAATGAAAGTGATTGGAAAGTTTAGTAATCAAGCGGATAAAGCGGATAATCCGCTGAATTAGCGGAATTAGGGTCATCAGGCGTAACTATCCAGTGATCGCTACTGGTTACTTTCTACCTTTCGCTATCGTTTCGTTTCGCTCCGTCACAATTGTTTGTCCTTCCTTTCTCTATAACATGCGTACGAGCAAATAAATCAAAAATTTTCGACTATGGCTACATTCGCCGCCGGAAGTTACAACATGAGATTTTTTGGAAAGTTGGATTTCGAATAGGTCTACGAAAATAGAAATATCAATTTTTTGAAGGTTATTATAATATGCATGTGCTCCATCAAAAAATTGTCCATCAGGTTGCTACTGTTTTTTTTTTCGAATGGGAAAACAATCTCAAATTCCTCGTAGTAAATTCTTGAAAGACGAATTTGATGTTTCTACTTTGGAAAGGAACCTTAGTCTGCTGGGATATCCTATGAGTTCGCATTACGAATATTTGAGTTATACCACATTTTTTGTGGAAAATCACAAACTGTAGATAATATACAAAATCTTCAAAAATTATCTTCTACTACTTTTGGTGACTCTTTCCAATTTTTTTTTGCATTCTGCTTCAAAATTGCACTAGAATCTCCTTGACATTGAAGATGGGAACGATTTTGAATGGGATCGAGTGAGGGACAACCAAATTTATTTCCATTGCTCCCATTTCCCTCATTGTCTATTCTGATCGAGAATTCTTGACCGAGACTGAATTCGATTCTTGATTTCGCTGTAGTTTGCAGCTGATCAAACAGTATCAAACTCTTTTCAAGCACTTTGTCGCCCATTTAATCCTAGAAACCTTTCGATTCCCAATTATTTGTACCTGAATTCGTGCTTACTAATTTCAGCCATTCCACTTTCCGTAGAGTTCATACTTTTATCTAGAGCAAATTAAAATTTTTGCAGGTTCAAAAACCTAATCTCCTATGTGTTGATTCGATGGATGCATGGCCTTCGTTGGACTCATAGTGCTTTTAGTGATACCAGGTTCGTATAGCATTTCAAGATTAAATTACCCCAGAGTTTTTGTGAACGAATGGATCAATAAGTTGTTTGTGACACAATAACAAAGAAGCGTGGTTATTGCTGAGAAAAAAAATTTTACAAGTCGTTATTGTATGAATGATAAGGAGTTTTAAACCCCTTTATTTGTTTTCTCGTTCCAAAATATATTGAGTGCACGATGCCGCACTCGATAAAAAATTCAAATTTATTGGTCTCAGAAATCCCCTACGGGATTTCTGAGACCAATAAATTTGAATTTTGATCTGGTCCCCATTTACAAAAGATTGAAAAGAAAAGGGTTTGCTTATAATTAAATAAAGCACTGTCGTGATCCCTAGGATATAACTGAAGGTCAAGAAGAAAGTTATTCCTTAGCCAGTCAAGTGCCTACAAGCACCAATTCGTTTTTATCCTCAAGAACGATTAGAATTCGTCCTTTTTTGCATGAGGCCAAGGCCTGAGATAATTACAACTTTGAATTGAACATCTGCAACTTACGCCCTTGTTCCAATTCAAAACTTTTTTATATAAGAGGGCAATCGGTAAGGCATCATTTTCGACATTAGTTTGGATAAGAAAACTTTTTTCAGCTTGCTTGACTAACTTACAAAAGTCGTCTCCGACTTCGCCCACACACGACGAGAGAAAATTTTTCCAGCTGGATACGGCGAGGTTGCGAGACTTTTGGCACACAGCGATGGTCCGCGGGTTCATCAAGGTGGAACTGAATTCTCTATCTCAATAACTTCAATAACGCAATGATTTTAGGCTTATACGAAGCCCATGCTCCCTTCACTTCCATATGTTGAAAAGCAAATGTATGGAATTTGTGTCAAACAAGCAAAAAGCACAGTAGCCTTAGCCAAATGTGCTGTGCAAGTGTTCAATTACCGCGATACTATGGGAGATAGGGCCAAAGTGGAAACAAGCTCAGCTGTGACTTTGGCTTATAGCCTACCCAGAAGAATCTCTAAAAACGTAACCATGTATCACACATCATCTGTGCCGATGAAAAGGAAAGTCAATGATCCGAAGGCATACTTTCGAAAACATAAGAAGCCTAACAGGAGGAAGACACGATTACGTCGGACACGTCGATTACGGAAGAAGAAAAAACGGATAAAGAGGGAAGCCATGAAGGAGAAATTCCGCAAAATTTCTACCCGCAAAACCCAGAAAATCAAGAAAATTGGAAGAGCCTTACCAAAACCTCGAGAAGAACTACTACCTGGTAAGATCCACACTTGAAAACAAACTAGCTAGTTACAGTATTTCAGGAAAACGTCCTGCTTTGAATATTGGGAAAATCTTTTCACAATACATGAAGAAATTATTAACGCGTGAGTTTTATGTTAGCAATAGCATTTGGCTTAGGAAATTAGGGTAAAATACAGGAATAATTTTTTAGGTAGCTCGGAAGGAAGGTCATACCTTGAGAGTTTGCGTATCATCCGTGACCATTTCCAACGTGTAGAGCTCTGCAATCAGTACTTTCAGAGAACAAACCAAGAAAATAAGAAGTAATGTTTATTTTTATTTTGCATTTTTTACTATCTTTGTAATGTATGTATTCTTGTACTGGACTTCAGCAAATTATTTCTGATAGCAAATCCAACTTTATCTATTATAATTCAAAAATATTGTGTAAATTGACAAGGTCTACTAACATTTCGGATGATTTTTATTTTGAATATCAATTCCTTTGAACTCAAGGAAGACCTGGAGCCTCTACTGTTCTCTATGATTTAATCCTTGTCCTCAAATTCCTAATTTATCTTCATTATCGCGTCGAAACAAGCCAAGTTACAAATCTTTTCAACCTTTTGCTTCTGCTCGGTTATATACGCTGTAAGGATTCAGCACTTTCGATCCAAGATTATAAGACGAGAAGTGGTCTATAACGACATTTCAAGGAAAAAAGTATTGTTTTTAAAGTTTAATAATTACACGAATAGATTTAAAACTCCACGTCAGCATTTCGTACAGAATTTGAAATGCGTTTCTCCCAGGTTTTTCGAAGAACTCAAGCTAGAAGTCGACACTCGCACACCCGAAATTGAGAATACCGCTCTTTCGACTATGACAGGCGTATTGCAAACAATCAACGACTTTTCGGTAAGGATTTGCTTCAATTTTCGCGAGCTCACAACTTCTAAAAATAAAACTTTTCAAGGCACATGCATCATCGGATCAAATGTCTGTGTTGTCACCTCGTCTATTTTCCGTGGTTCCCCATAAACCTTCCTCCTCTGAAAAGCAGCTGCTTTCTCCAACAATACTCAGCTTTCAAAAAGAGGGATTCTTATCTATGCAAGAACTGTTCGAGGTAAGTCAAAAATTCTGATGTTTTCGATAAAAATGGTCACGATATGCGGAGAAAAGTAGTTGGCTCGTGGAAAGAATTTCTTACCCATACTTCCTCAAAAACAGCTTTAAAAATGTAACTTTTGCTTCCAGAATCTTTTCAGATGGCGACCATGAACGAAAAGCAACAAAATTTGCTTTTGGACATGATAATGGATGTCAGTGGCGCTGGTAAAGCAGTCGAGGTGAGATTTTTCCTAATTGTAGCATTTTTGATGCAAAACTTATTTTCAGGAGACTCTTGCTAAGATAAAACCGGAGATAGAAGACGTGAAAAACGTCAAGCTTCCTCTTGTGCAAGAACTGGCTCGAAAACATGACCGATGGTTACGGTAGTTATGTTGGATAGATCAAAATAGTACATAATTCCCTAACAACAGTGGCGATTCTAATTTCCTCGAGGGGAGGGGGGTTGGAAGCACGAAGGAACCATGTAGCTGAAGGGTGCGGGGCTTAGTCATCTTCAGAAAATCGAGGCTTTCTGAAATCTTCGTAGATTATAACCCTGAAAATTTAGAACGGGAGCATCCTCGTATATTATTTATTTACGAAAACTAGCCACTTTCTCATTTTCGTAACTGATGTAGACCACTTTCAAAAATTTCAAAAACCCCGAGTCTGAACATCGGCACTCCATTCTGAGTTAAGGATTTTTGAAAATAATTCTCCTTTCTCCAGTTTTACCACTGAAAGAGTATTTTTCAAGAGCACATGCTAAATTCACAAAGGAGCAAAGACAGGAGTACGAGAAAAATGGATTTGCGTTTATGAACGGAGACCAATTAAAGTTGGTCTATGACTCAGAAGGTAAGCAAAGCAATTTGTAAACCATTTGTACTTACATTTGGTAGATGAAAGCTGGTTAAAATTTTTTCAGAGCAGAGGCTTTATGGCATTAATATCACTGAGCTAAGTCGGATGACAAAAGAAGAGAAAATAAAGAGAATTGAACGTGATATCCGCAAATTAGCCACTCTGGACCGACCACTACCTCAGAAGCCTGTACCGAGTTGGGGCCCAGGTGAGCTAAACCCGGTTAAATATACATTTTTCCCCAAATCCACGGAAACTTAAGCGGGATAAAGATCAGCTTGGTTCCACAGGATTTTTTTTACTATCATAGGATTTTGAGCTTCAAAAAGGAAGTGCTGCAGAGTTTTGACGCCAGACTGATGGCGAAAACTTTCGCAGCACTTTTCACAGAGGGGTTCATCCTGAATGTCCAGTGGAATTCGGTGAACTATCGGAGTTATTTGCCAATGAAGCCATTTCAGTCCGTACCCGACGTCAAGCGTCAGGACCACCGGAAGGTGATCCGCCGATACCCGGGGAAAGTGAGCAAGAACTAGAAGAAAGAGGAGTACGAATCAACGGTATACTTTTCCAAACGTTGGAACCCTACGCTTTCGAACCAGAAATTGGTACTGGTGCAGCACTAGAAGTTATTACATTATCTCCGCATGCTTTCATTCCGGAGATACTGTTCCCGAGAGCTTTTAGGGTAAGATCTTCGAGTTCAGAAAGAATCATTGGCATGCGTCAGTTTGTTTTAGCAAGAAACATTGACGCCACGTGCCTTCATTGGTGCAGTTCTATCACCTAACGCTCTTATGGCCCGAATACTTTCTCCTACTGCTCTACGTTTGGAAATACTCTCGCCTCGAGCATTGCATGCATGGGTTCTCAGTCCAGAAGCTCTTGTAAGGCATTTTCTTGCATTCCGTTGAATAGGAACAGAAGCTAATCGTATAAGCTGTTTCATTGACAATGTCACAGATCCATCGGCTCGTCTCTTCGCGACTGCCTCGCTTGGGCCTTGCACCGCATTCGCGGACGTATCGTCCAGGCATTTACTCAACGTGAGCAACGATTGAAGGCTGGCGAGCGTGGGATGCCAGGAAAGTACATCCGCGAGCGCGGCACAAGGGCATGCGCTGCGGAAGCGCGGACCCAAGCCGCTGGAGATGTGACCCTGTCGCTGAAAAAGCCTATGCTTGATTCTCCTCGCAAACTGCACAAATTCATTAAGTTGGTGGAGATACTTTCTCCACGAATGCTCGATCCACGAGTGCTTTCTCCCATGGCTTTGATTGTTGAAGTCCTCAGCCCAGGTAAGTGAGGATGTTCAAAACCATTTATTTCTCTATTTCAATTTTAGGAATACTCTCTCCTTTTGTGGGGTCCGCTGAGCTTGGATCAGTTCTTGTTCTTAGTCCACACGTCTTGTCTCCTCGTTACAAAAGTCCCGAAAAAATGGTTATTGAGGTAAGCCGAGAATTTCGCAAAAGATGTATAAGGGAGTTTTTTTTCATTATAGGTGCTGTCACCTCACATACTCGGAGGTCCTCACTCTCACGAAGAAGCCTTTCATCAAGTTACCGAATTTGGATCTCACAGTCCTCATTATCACGGTGACTCTTCCCATGAAAGGGAGGAAGGTTCACACCATAGCCACGAACTCGATAATGAACTGTCACTGGAATCATATCCAGGACTTTCAAGCATTACAGGCCATATTCGTCACCGACATGGTGGTCAAGGTGACGCTCGCACCGGAGAGCTTTTCCCTGGATTGGCAGATTTGTTGGGAGGCTCTCATGCAGAAAACGATCCACTATCGGAATTGTTGGGCCTGGGAGCACACAGTCATCATAATCACGGGCCTTCTCATGGATCTCACGGATCCAATGAACAAGAGCATGAATCTCACGGATCTCATGAACCTCATGGATCCCATGAATCTCATGGATCCCATGAACCGCATGGATCCCATGGACACCATGAGCCAGAGCTATTCCCCGGGTTTTCCGAACTATTCGGAGGTGGTGGCCATGGTGGGTCTCATGAGCCTGAACTAGCCGGACTTTCCGAACTAGTCGGCTTCGGTCACGGTCATAACCACGGTGGTTCCGAACATGGAAATCATGGCGGGGGAGACTTATTCTCCGAACTGTCATCATTATTTGGCGGACACGGTTCCCATTCCCCTCAGCACTCACACTCTGCACATGGAAGCCATGCTGGAGCACACAGTTCTCATGAATCGCACGAAAATCATGAAGAATCAGTCCCGGGTTTACCACGTATGTTGCGGCTCGTAGTTTTCTGTTTGTGTTTCTCTAACTTTATCGTTTTAGCTCTTATCCACATCGTGAATCCATTACGGCAATAAGATATACAGGAAGTGATCTCTGATGTAATATGAAAAAATAAATACTTGACTCAGATAAAAGTTTACTTGTGAGATTACCCTAAGACACGACTAAAAATAGAACATGCACTCACACCCGCACGTCAAATCATTTTCAGTATCAGCACATTATATAAAAAACATCATTTGTTTTTGCAGGAATTTCTGCCTCAAAAATCTACCTTGTCTTTTTTGACAAAAGCGCTACTTATGTTGTTAGCCAATAAAATAAAAATGTAATAAATTAAGGATCTTACAAGGAAATTGCACTACGATGCCGATTATGACTAACAAACTTGTAAGTTGCATTTCCACAACAAAATAATACTGCATCCTACCTCTGCTTTACTTGAAGCTTTCTAGAACATACAGATTTTACAGAGATTGAAGGCTGTCGTTTCTTCTCCGGAATTTTCAATGCACGAACCAGTCCGTACAAATTGCTATTCAATCGCTCCATAGTTACACCTCTTCCCTTTCCAACAACAATTTCGTTCTACCAGACAACCTATGCATTATACTATAAACCAATCCCGCATGTCTCGCTCATGCAGGACGCGCTTTTCTATTCGGGAAGATCTACGTATTTCTTTAAGAGCGCATGCATTAACATCCCTGCCGGAGAGGGGATCGCAGCTTCAGAAGAAAGCTTCATATCCTGAAGCTCCAGATATATGGAATTCACGCTATTTACCTTTCCGTAAGTGCTCCCACTATCCTTCACTATGAACATCTTGAACGGGAGCAAGAAGCTGTACAAGACGCATTTCTCAGCTTTTTGTTTGATACCCTGATGATCCCCACTGGCCGAACGTCTTTCCTTTAGAGTCATTTTCTTTTTTCGAAGTCAATAAAAACATTCCATACTTGTGCTTTTATCTGACCCAACAGTGCTAAGCATGTTGCTGACAAGAACGAATGGACTACGATTTTTTCGATAAATCCCAAGTTTCGACTTATGGTTAATCGCAAATTTTATGACTCCAGTTCATCATTTGTTTTTATCAACAACATGCTTGCCACTGTTGAGTTAGATAAACAACACAAGTTTGGAATGTTTTTGTTGACTTGGAAAAAAGAAAAAAATAATTTTAAGAAAAGACATTTGATCATACAAAAAGCTGGAAAATGCGGCTTCTACGGCTTCTTGCTCCCTTTCAATATAATTATATTGAAGGATGGTGGAAATACTTACGGATAGGTTGGCAGCGTGAAATCAGGTATCTGGAGTTTCGAAATATAAAGCTTTCTTTGAGCTGCGATCCCCTCCCCAGCGGGGAGGTTAGTGCATGCGACCTCAAGGCAAGACTTTCATCTTTTTGCATGTGGGCACTAATTCTGTCATCCACGATCTTGCCTCCTGCCCTCGAATTTTTTACCCGGTATTTGTAATTTGGCTTTCCTCCCTATTGTGCACGTGCGCACACATCTAATCTCTTTTTGTGCAATTTCTCGGCAATTGGAGCTACTTTCATTCGGGTTTGTATAGTTTCACTGCAAATGTGGTCGTTCACTGCGACATCTTTGCTCTAATATAACATCCTTGTTTCGTTGAACCTGCCCTCCTTGTTCATATCTGGAGATCAAGCTATCTGGCATCTGTCTATTGCGCAATGTCACCATCAGAGGCCTCCTCTTTGTAAGCCTCGTTCCGCTAAGATGTGATATCACACGTTCTTCGTTTTTCCATCTACATAGACTCTGTTTTCTTGCTGTTAAGCTTTCAGCCCATACAAATCTACTGCTTAATCTTCAGAGAGCTATCTGCTTCATGCCACCACTAAAATCACCTATAGCGTGCAAGGTAGTTCGAGCTTGAGAGAAGGGTTCCGTGCTATTACTCCATGCGCTGCGAAATTTTTCCACTTTAAGTTCATCTCACATTGATGATTGCATATTCTCTTGCGTTTTTGTTTCTATTTGAATCTTCTACGGAGTCAGTCTTCACTGGCAGCTCTAACTGCTCTAGGTTTTCTCTCCTAATTTTCGATGTTCGGCTTTTATGTAGTATAGCCTATCGACTTGTTGTATAAACAGGTGGGACATCCCATCTAACAAAGTCAAAGTTCGCCTCTTCAAAAGCGCAGGATTGTTGAAGTACAATTGCAGACTAAAGAAGTACCTAGCGCTATGTCAAAACAAGGCTGGCTCCCAACTTCCGAACATAATTGGGAAAATATTTGAATGCTTTCTGCGCTGGCAGAAAAAATCCAATTTCTTTTGAGTTTTTTGAGTAGTCAAGTTCGATAGGCGATCATAAAGCATGACATACATTAGAGTTCAAAGCGTTCGGAGCAGGGTCAAGCTTGTGATGCGACTGTCGCAACGGGGGGTCGTAAAGAGGGTACCTAAGGTGGGGGGGGGGGGGTCGTAAGAGAAGGTAGTTAGGCTAAAATACTCTAAGCTTAGAAGGAAATCAAAAAGCAGATAATTAGTTATGTTCTTCACAATAAATCTATAAAAAATGGAAATCAGAATAAAAAAGATAAAAAATGTGTAGAAATTCTCAAAAAAAAACATTTACAAGAGCTCAAAACACTTTTGAAGGATGTATGGTTTGATAAAAATGCTAAATGATTGCCGACTGCCCTAGAAATCTCGCTTCTGAAGCCCTCCTGAAGTCTCATACACTCGACAAAAGCGAATATCTTTACCAGCTGTGACACCATAAATTTCTAAATCTTTTTGTAACGTTTTTCACGGGCCCATATGATTTATCTGTATTTTTGAGATGCTCCGCTACATCAGTGCAAAATTTGGTGTTATTTTGTCAACCTGTGGATTTTCTTATAATTTTATGTATGGTAGCAAAAAATCAGGAAAGGGGGGTCGTATCTGGGTCCATCTAAATTTCTTCGGAGCTATTGAAGCTTGTTGGCTGCAATTCTGCTGTAATATGAGGCCATCCTTCTACACTCCCTCATAAGAATTGCAGGCTGTTTTATAAGTTCTTTGGTAAGTTACAAAATTTTAAGCTCAAAAATCTCAGTTTTTGCTTTTTAGGATCGCATCTAAATTTGCGAGAGTCGCATCTAAATTTTTTCGAGCTTACTGCTCCTCATGAGCTGAAACTTTTTCTATGGATAGTCTGGGCACTATACTACAGAACATGTGCTTTTCAGCCTCTCATTCTTTTCCTGGCCTTAGTTACGAATTTTCAAACTACCCTGCTCATGCACGTTTTTGAGTCGCTGTGGACGGCGCCCAAGCGGTTTTTTTCGCGGGAAAAACTGTGGAAGAGGTAAGAATTGAGCTTCTTAGACGAAAACATCTTTTGTAGTTCAAGAATGTCATTTTGTTCTCCGTGTAAAAATTTGTGTCGCAAACGGGATTCGAATTTGCTGGTCTGAAGTATGCCTGAAAATTCAAAAAAAAACTTGCAGATTCTCAAACATTATTGAAGGTGTGTTTGTGTGCTACAGATGCTGGACGCACCCATTGGCCTAGAAATTCTGCTTCAGAAACCTCACTGAAGTTCTCACGCAGGTGTTTTTTGAGATTGACATTCGTTTATGCAGGTTACCGCGAGGAATGTGGGCAGGGGAGGAGGGAAAGAGGGGGGGGGGGGTCGTAAATGAGGGTCCCGGAGCGCATCAACACGCTTGACCGTGGTTCGGAGCTGCGTTTCTCTAAATCAACAAAAAATTGGTTCCTGACATTGGATGTCTACTAAGTCCCCAGGGATTTAATGAAAGAATCGGCTCAACAATGCAAAACGTTTCTTAAATAATCACTGTAGCCTAAACATCATTTATTCTATAAATTTGTTAGTCATGAGGCAAGGGTACTTAAATCGCCTTTTAACATGAGATACATATACTGGAGTCAAGTTGGAAAGCTCATTTTAGAAATACTGCTCATAGCTGCTTAGAGTCATTCTGAAGCGAGATATGAGCCTGCTGTTGTGATTAACTGACATACTGACGAGTATGCTAATGGGGAAAGGACTCAAACAAAAGTTGGCGATTGTAGCGAAAGAAGATTTCTTTAATGGCCTAATAGATTTGGTAGAATATTTACAGTGTAAAATCTGGTTTTTGTATTTGAATGTATTATATCACTTACCAAAATGAATGTTTCCTTTGTTTTTCATTATTTTCACTTGCATTAGAAACATAGTTTTAGGAGCTCTATGTTGATTTCATGATGTCATGCGGGTAGGCTAGTAAACGTATTTGGAAAACCAACAGGATAAACTTTCACATTTTTTATGTTCTTGCAGGCTGACTTTTACGATATATAGACCAATAACCTTAAGAATTATGGTATCTATTTTTCATGGCTTGTAAGATAAATGTAGAAATTATTTTCAACAGGAAGAGGTTTCATACTGTTATATGAAGCCCCAACTATAGACCGAATTTAACAGGTGTTTTGTGTAGCTTAAGAGCATATATAACAGTGATATTGGTGAATTTTTATCAGTTGTTTGTCGTTTCAGTAATTTATGTCCGTCAAGAATTTGTGTGGCCTCCTTTCTAGCATACATGTGAAAAGGCGATAATGTGTTCCTACCCCCTTCACCCCAGGGCCAAAACCCAGCTGACCCCCCTTCACCCACGGCCGATGAGGAACTGGAAAAAGTGAGACTAAGAAATCAACATTCTAAACAAAATTATAAAACTATCGGCATTATTAAAATCAAATTTAGTGACTTATTATGATTGTCAAAACTTACTTGCAGGCTCATGAGAAGTACATCGGAAATTTGCCGCCTATTGTTCACTTCTAGAGAACGATGAAAAAGCCTGGAGAAAAATTTACGTGTGAGCCTTTGTGTACATACGTCAATGAAGTTATTACTCCCATATTTGCTGAAATAGTAAATGAAATAATAAATGGACTTTGATGATCGGTGCGCAGTTGAATTGCGTTCTTTTTAAGAGGTATAAATTTTCTAAGCAGATGGCGGAATCGGTGGAAAGTCATTGAATGATTCCTTGAAGAGTCATTGTTCTAACTTTTAATATTATTTCTAAACT